ACTATTATCTATGAGCATCTCCGGAATATGAAAAATCTCATATATATTTTGTGTATGATAAAATTGCTCTACAAATACAGCATTCTATACCAGTAAAACTCTGTCTGCTTCTGAGGGTTGCACCAACTTATTGACTAAGAAGCAGGTCTTTTCTTGGCTCTCAATTTTTTTGTTTTGAACTGAATAAAGCAGCTTCCAAAGAGAAGGTATGTAAATTGTAACAAGAAATTTGTTGCCATATTAGCTCTTTGGTTCCCTGAGTTTATTTTTTGCCAAGTGAAAATTCCTTTAATGGCACTAAAGGATTTTCTGTTCCTCTTCAGTGCAACCAGCTAGAAAAAAGACTTTGAAGATGCATAGTACTACATTAACAGAACTCTTCAAAAGGGTTTATGTGCAAGTTTATTGCTTATTGAATAAGCCTAATACTTAAGAAAGGGAAGAACAAATCTAGAAGGAGGGAGAATGAAATGGGTGGCAAGTATTTCACGCTAACTCGTCACATGTCTAAGCTTTTAAAGGAGAATGTAGTTATGGTGGCAAGAATTAGGTTTCATTACCATCTACGGATGTAATAGGATAAAGTTCCTGATTTCTTTCTAACTCGTATTTCTATGGGACAAAAACATTTCATAAGATTTTTCTATTTCTGATGTACTTGCTTTGGCAAGACAATGTTGGAGAGATGCTTTGAAAATTATTGACAATTGCCTATGCTTGAAGGCAAACGTAATCAGGATTATTAAACTTTTAAAACAGATGTATACCTAGACTTGGAAGTTTCCTGTTTAAATCCCAGTAAACTCCGTGTGGGAAATGGAATCCATTGCTGTCTGTGTGCAAAAGACATATTGAAAACAAAAGAATAACCTGATCTGCTTTTGTGCAAGAGTTTTGGTAACACGCTCTGAATACTTAGAACAGTAATTTTGTTTTGGCCTGTCGTATTTAGAGAGATGCAAACTGATGTAGCTCTGCTCATGGACTGGGATTTGAACCAATCTGGGGATACAAGAAATAGTAAAGCTTCTTTTTTTTTTTTAAAAAAAAAAAAAAAAGCAAAGTAGGTTATCATCTTCTTTCTCCAGTTCAGTGATGTCTCTATGAAAATTATTCTATGACATACTTAGAAAACTGTGACTATAATGGACTTATATTTCATCCTGTTACAGTCAATTGTTGCAATAACATTTTTTCTGTCTTCCTGTAACTCTGTATACACATGTTTTATGTGGAATGTTTGTATGATGGGTGCATGATTTATGGAGCAATAGATCTTTTTACCTTAGTGTTGTATTAGTCACCTGAAAGTGCTTTAGAAAGCAATGCGATGTCTTGTATGTCAACAGAATAAAGAAGTTGGTATAGTACAAGTAAACACCAAGAGATTGATTCTTGTTAGTTTCTTGTACCCAGGGAATGTGGGATTTGAGTTTTGAAATGTTTACCAGAATAACTGACAGCAGTTAGCATTTAGTTTACATAGCTGTTAAACTTGTAACTTCCTTCCACACAAATCTGTTTTTTATGTGAAGTTAAAAACAACAAAATAAACAAAACCAAACAAAAAAACCCCTCCAGAGCTAAAGCATATCAAGAGCCTGGGACAGGCAAAACAAATTATTTCTGGAAGTAAGTTTCAAACAACTGCTGAAAATTCTTAACAGGTTAAACACTTCAGTTTCTCTTGTGTTGAAATGTTGTAGCAGGCATGAGCCTTTAATCTTTAAAATCACTGTTACTATGGAAGATACTTGTCCCTTACAATATCTGTGCTGATTTCAAGAGATGCACCAAAGCAGAAAATCTGCAGCGGACAGCAAGGGTCTTAATATTGGAGGATTAAAATTACATCCTACTCGTTCAGCTCAGAAGCTCAAAAAGGAAGGTTTTATGTCCTGGTGCAGTGAGAGATTTGTCCTCCTTTCAAAGCTGTCTTGCATCCTGTGGAAGGCTGTATGCCACGGAAAACTCTTGCCTTGACAGGCAGATGCATTCAAAGACTATGAAGTTGAAGGATAAAATGCAATGTGAGAAATAGTTGTTGTATTACTTCTCCCATAGTCAAAAAGACACCTGAAAACTTTCTAGAGAAAGAGTGCAATGGAAATTGTGCAGTTACAAAATAGGAAATTTCAAAAATGTTGACAGCAAAAGTTTAAATATTCAATTTTAAGCATGCCTTCTATGATTTTATGCATGACTGTAGGTCCTAGTTGATGTTTCTTGCAAATTCTTATCCCAAACTGCTTTGTTTTTTCACTTTTCTGCTTCAGAATAAAATTTGCTGGTCTATTTTCTTAAATAATTAGTCCTTTTAGTAGTCTGATAAACTTCAGGCAGAACTCTCTTATACCTTTGCATTAACCTTTTGAAATGTGTCATCTTTTAAAGAAGCCTGAAAACTATAAAGTCTTTGTCTGTTTCTGCAAATAACTCTGGATATCTGAAACTGTTTCGGCCAATGTTGGTAAACAGGTACAATCACAAGAACTGAGGGAACAGGCTCGACCTTGTACCTACCTAGCTGAAGTAAAACTTAACTTTCAGATCTCAAAATTGAGCTTTCATACTTCAACTTTTCTGTTCAAGTGAATCTAATAATGAATATCCTGAAAGCAAATGTGATTTCAGTGATTTGCGTTAAACAAACATTTCATACAACATCTTAAAGAAATACAGAATTCCAACACTAGGAAATGCTTAATGTTTTACAGAAAAATACCTATAAAAGTCTACAACAGTCACCAATCTTCAAGAATTGATAGTGTATTAGTGATAATGGTGTATTACAGTGAGGTAAAAATTCAGTTGGAGCAACTGGATTGATGGGATGGTTAAAACAAAAATCAAGTATTTTGAAGCTGATGTGCATGGTAATTTGAGAAGTCAAGCATGTTCTTGAATGTGTTGACTTGGATGAGGTGATTGGTGACAGCCAACATGGCTTCACTAAAGGCAAATCCTGCCTGACAAATTTGGTGGTCTTCTGTGATGGGCTTACCGCATTGGTGGATAAGGGAAGAGCAACTTTTCCCTGTTGGATGTGAGGGGGAATATTGCCAAGAAGGATGAGGAAAAGGCTGAGGTACTCAACACCTGCTTTGCCTCAGTCTTTAATAGTCAGGCTGGTTATTCCCAGGGTAGTCAGCCCCCAGTGCTGGAAGATAAGGCGACTGGAACAAACCTCCCATAATCCAGGAGGAAGCAGTTAACCTGCTATGCCACCTGGATGCTTACAAGTCTATGGGGCCAGATGAGATCCACCCAAGAGTGCCGAGGGAACTGGCGGAGGAGCTGGCCAAGCCACTCTCCATCATCTGTCAGCAGTCCTGAATAACAGGGGACATCCCAAATGATTGGAGGATAGCTAATGTTAACGCTCATCTACAAGAAGGGCCGGATGGAAGATTCTGGGAACTACAGGCAGGTCAGCCTGACCTCGGTGCCAGGCAAGGTTATGGAGTGATTGATCCTGAGTGCACTCACTGGGCATGTGAAGGACAACCAGGGGATCAGGCCCAGCCAGCATGGGTTCATGAAAGGCAAGTCCTGCTTGACCAACCTGATCTCCTTCTATGACCATGTGACCCATCCTAGTGGATGAGGGAAAGGCTGTGGATGTTGTGTACCTGGACTTTACTAAGGCCTTTGACTCTGTTGCCTACAGCATTCTACTGGAGAAACTAGCTGCCCATGGTTTGGACAGGTATACTCTCTGCTGGATAAAGAACTAGCTGAATGGCCGAGTGCAGAGAGTGGTGGTGAATGGAGTTAAATCCAGCTGGTGGCCAGTCATGAGTGGTGTTCCCCAGGGCTCAGTTTTGGGTCTGGTCTTGTCTGACATCTTTATCAATCATCTCGGTGAGGGGATTGAATGTTCCCTCAGTAAGTTTGCAGACAACACTAAGTTGGTTGGGAGTGTCGATCTGCTTGAGGGTGGGAAGGCTCTGCAGAGGGATCTGGACAGGCTGAATTGATGGGCTGAGGCCAGTTGTATGAGGTTTAACAAAGCCAAAGGCCAGGTCCTGCACCTGGGTCACAACAACCCCATGCAACGCTACAGGCTTGGGGAGGAGTGGCTGGAAAGCTGCATGGAGGAAAAGGATCTTGGGGTGTTGGTCAACAGCCAGCTGAACATGAGCCAGCAGTGTGCCCAGGTGGCCAAGTAGGCCAACAGCATCCTGGCCTGTCTCAGGAATAGTATGGCCAGCAGGAGGATTGTGCTCCTGTACTCGGCACTGGTGAGGCTGCACCCTGAGTACTGTGTTCAGTTTTGGGCCCCTGACTACAAGAAAGACTTTGAGTTGCTGGAGTGTGTCCAGAGAAGGGCAGCAAGGCTGGTGAAGGGGCTAGAGAACAAGTCTTACGAGGAGCAGCTGAGGGAACTGGGGCTGTTTAATCTGGAGAAGAGGAGGCTGAGGGGAGACCTTATTGTTTTCTACAACTACCTGAAAGGAGGGTGTAGAGAGGCAGGTGTTGGTGTCTTCTCCCAAGTAACTACTGATAGGATGAGATGAAATGGCCTGAAGTTGCATCAGGGGAGGTTTATATTGGATATTAGAAAAAATTTCTTTACTGAAAGAGTGGTCAGGCATTGGAATAGGCTGCCCAGGGAGGTGGTTGAGTCACCATCCCTGGAGATGTTTAAAAAATGTGTAGATATGGCACTTTGCACTATGGTTTAGTAGGCATGGTGGTGTTGGGTGGATGGTTGGACTTGATGATCTTAGAGGTCTTTTCCAACCTATGATTCTGTGAACTGATGTCATCTACCTGGCCTTGAGTAAAGCATTTGAGACTATCCCGCATGACATTCTTGTCTCTAAATTGGAGAGGCATGGATTTGACGGGTGTACCGCTCAATGGATAAGGAATTGGCTGGATGGTTGCATTCAGAGTTGTGGTCAATGGCTTGATGTCCAAGTGGAGACCGGGGACGTGGTGTTTCTCAGGGGTCATTATTGGGACTGGTGCTGTTTAGTGTCTTTGTTCGTGACATGGATAGTGGGATTGAGTGTGCCCTCAGCAAGTTTGATGATAACACTAAGCTGAGTGGTGCGGTCAATGCGTTGGAGGGAAGGGATGCTGTCCAGAGGGACCTTGATAGGCTTGAGAGGTGGGCCTGTGTGACCCTCATGAAGTTCAACAAGGCTAAGTGCAATTGAATTAAGTTCAAGAGATCTTAAGTGCTCATTAGACAAGTAGTAATGTAAGAAAGAATAATAAACTTAAGTGGGCACAATATCATAGACACAAACCCACAAAATATATTGCGTCCATAATAATATTTCAAAATAAATGCTTATTTTGATGAAGATGCCTTTGAACAATTACCGTGAAATTGGCAGAACTTGTGCTTGGAGCTCAGGTGAAGAACATTTGAAAGCACAACCAGAGTTGGGCAAGACTGTACTGTATTTAAAAATGATTTTTGGAACTTCCTTTTGTCATGTCTATATGTTGCTATCTCTTAAGAGAGCAAAAGCAGTAATCACCTCTGAAGCTTGGACACTTATCTCCAGAAACCCTTGCAATGAAATGCAAACAGACCTGTGTTATAAGATGATCCCAAGTCTGTACCCTGTTCAATACAGAAGAAATTCGAGGCAAGTTGCTTCGTGGCAACAATGGTCGTATCACCAGAGTGACTTGCAGGTTGTAATGGTATCACTGGTTAGAAGTCATATTATTACTTATGTGAGTTGAATCACGTTACTGAGGCCTACCACTTGCTGCTAGAGAAGTCTCACCAGTTTTCAATTTCAAATTCCAACCCAGTGCACTCCACTGGCATAATGTCAAAGGAAAAAGAGGAGCTAAGGACTTTTTAATAGAGGTCACTTTCAGGTAAATGAAGAAGACAATATTGTTCCATAAGCTTGAGTAATTTTAACCTTTTCTTAGTCTTGATGTTTATCCCCTTTCTGCAGGTGTTACAGTGTTTCTTATGTCCCTAGGAGAGGCCTAAACTTGTGATATGAGCATATGGGGTAACTTATTTAGGGAGTTTATATTCCTTTAACAACAAAAATCAGAGTGAACCCTTTGTTATAGGATGTTTATTCAGAATACCGGAGGAAGTATTTCTGTGTTAATTGAGCAGAACTGGATGTTTAAAGGAAGCCGCATTGTTTGCAGTAGTAAGGTAGGCAAAAGTGATCTGAATCAACACTTTATTCCTCTCATTACCTGGTTAAGGATAGCTAATCTTTGCACACAGACCTCTTCTACGTAGTCTAAGGAAAGATACTACAGTGGTGTAAAAAGGGATATAAGCAAATACAAGAGCTGTGTTTATCATGTCTTCTTAGAATCATATATGCACAGACAGAAGAGAACTTACTAAAAAGGAAAATGTTCATCGCTAAGTCATTTGACTTCCAATTCAGGTTTGACTCAGTCCCTTTCTCTCTGAAAGGGTGCAAGGGAGGTCTTTCCTAGTGACAGCAAGGGTCCCCAGATCAGCTGACTGTGTGCACAGTCTGAATAAATGTGGCTTGAAGCAGGTTACCTGAGCCATGCTTAAAGGGGAATCATTCATCTGGAAACCTCAAAAGGGGGCTGACTTCCTCTACAGTGAAGAGGAACATGACTTGCAGTCTAATTGCAGATTATTGTAACTGGACAGGCAATAGGGCATAATCTTAGAGAAGCAAAGAACAGACCTGAGCTCTGGTTACACAGGTCTTGCAACACTCGAGATGAAAGAGATCAGTATCTGTCTCTTAACAAGAGGAATGAGGCTTTTGCATTAGTGACAAGGTTGGTCACTGTGAATATGTAAATGAGATGGCTCAGTCACAATAAGCAGGGACCTTTCTACATGGTGCTTGTTAGTTTTTAAACTGAACTCATGCTGGCCAGGCAGGGAAAGGAGCTAGATGTTTGGGCTAGCTAGGCAAAGGAGCATTCTCCTTTGCTTTGTCTACCTGCCTTGCTCTTTTCAGCACGACCACTTTTTTTTGGGGGTGGGGGGAAGGGGCTGCTGGTGTTTGTTGAAAACAAAAAAATCAAAATTAATTGTTCGGATATTTTAAAAGTATGCATATAAATAATTAGTATTTATAAAATCTTTGTGTATGCAAATGGCCATATAAACACCCATAAACTCTACTGACAAATTTTGGCACAACTTAGTAAGCAAGGGTTCTGTAAACTTGTAACTGAATATAATATTTTGTAAAATCACATGGCCTGAAGTAGATGAACATCTAAGCTCTTTTTTAAATTATGGTATACCATATTTTAAACCAAGTTTATTGAAGTCTTCCTCATTCTAGCATTATAGCCAGCTGTGAACACAGAGCCTCTTTTTTCTAAGTTTCTAGGATCTAACAAAACAGAGTTGACCACACTTTGGTAAAGCAGCTGGTGACAATGTTTGAGGTAGCCTCAGAACAGGCAAAGTCTTAACAGCATTCAATCCATGAATTCTGACAAGAGTTTGCATGTGAATTAAATGTGGATGCAGTTACTTAGTGTGTACTTCTGAAAGCAATTTGTGTGTGGTAGATACACTTGCAAACCAGGTGAGGTTTTTAAGAGGTATTGGGAAGTCTTCCTCAAGCTAAAATAGGGGCTTAAAAGGAAGCTGGAGAATGTCACACCTTGTTAAAAATGCTATTTCTGATTGTTTACAGAGGTTTAGTTGTTTTTTGCTGGGATACACTCACAGGACATCCCTCCTTGTGCAGCTTGTTTTTGGATGATTGTAGTGTGTTTAAAGCTTTTAGTAAGAGGGTATGGCTCACTGGCTTCTGCAATGGTGCTTCTGTTGATGTTTTCTGCTGGCAAAACAAACTAAATATGTGCTGTAAAAGATGTTGGTAGGAAATTGGTATTGGTAAAACATCAATAAAATGAGCTTCTGTAAGAGGAGAGGAAAAATTAGGTAGGGAAAAAACACCCTTTGAAATAGACTTATTTTCTGTTGCCATTGCTGGAATCAAGAATTCAGCATCCATTCAACGGCAGTAGGATGTCAATGATCAACTCTTGACTTGTTAGAAAGCATTTGTTTCCTTGCAATCAATTTAAAAAACAAAACAGGAAAACCCAGCAAACTTTAACCATTTTGTGAAGTAGTTCAGAATCTTGTTTTAATGTTGGTGCTTTTCATGTATGTTTAGTGACAGGACAAGGGGCAACGGGCACAAACAAGGAAGAACTTCTTCCCTCTGAGGGTGACAGAGCACTGGAACAGGCTGCCCAGGGAGGTTGTGGAGTCTCCCTCTCTGGAGATATTCAAGACCCGCCTGGACAAGGTCCTGTGCAGCCTGCTGTAGGACACGTTGCTTTGGCAGGGGGGTTGGACTAGATGACCCACAGAGGTCCCTTCCAACCCCTGACATTCTGTGATTATGTGAATGCCAATAGTGAGAACAAACCGAAAGATGGTGTGACCCATGAAATCGTAGAACAGTAGTCCATATCCTTAAAAGCTTTCCTCTGAAGTCTAATTCTGTCAAGACTAAAGCAATTGTAGAGTTTATTTGGAGTATTAGAGGTGGAGCTTACTTTATTTTGTCTTCATCAGCAAAGCTTCAAACCCTCTTTAGCAAAGCTTTCTCAAAAGCCTGAAGGCAATCTAGGTATGTTAGGATGCCCTGGGTTCAGCCAGGACAGGGTTAATTTTCACTGGAATCCAGGAAGGGGCACAGCTGGGCGGGCTGACCCCACCCGGCCAAACAGAGCAGAGTATTCCATACCATGTACCAGTGGGGGAGAGCTGGGTGGCGGGAACTCACTCGCGGCTCAGGAGCGCGCAGCGCCGGTCCAGTCCAGGAGAGCGGCTCTGTGGGTTGTGTGGTTTGTCTTGCTATTTCTCCTTATCTGTATCGTTGTTGTTCCTGTTCCCTCTGTTTGCTGTTCTGTTAAACTGCCCTTATCCCAACCCACCAGTTTCTGCCTGTTTCTTTCCATTCTCCTCTGCACCCCGGCGGGGGGAGGGGCGGCCGCGTG